GGGGGGATGGGGACAGCACCAAGGACTCGAGGCCCCTCCCCCATCGTTTACAAATTTTTATTTCCCACGTGAGGGTCCAGTATAAAATGGGGGAGGGGTGTAAATGGGGGAGGGGCCCTTTAAGCGGGGCCGGTGGGCGGGGCCTCTAAAAGGGGGCGTGGTTACGGGGCGTTAGTAATGGGCGGGGCCAAATGTGACAGCGAAAGGGGCGGGGCTTCACACGAGGGCCCAGCCCCCAGGAGCCCCCTGATTGGGTGAGCCGGGGAGGAATGGGCGTGGCCTCAAGGATGGGCGGGTCTTCAAAGGGCAACGCCCAGGTGGGGCCCGACGCCAGCGCCTTAAAGGGGCCGCACATTGAGGGGGGGGGGACGACACAGCCCCTCCCATCCCGTGAGCCACGCCCGGCCGGGCCCCTTTAAGAGCGGGGCCCACACGAGGCGCCTTAAAAGGGCAACGCGCATCAAAGGGGCGGGGCCTCCATTGAAAACCGCGCGCCCGCTTTAAGACTCTTCAAACGGCGCCAGGTGGGGCCCACCCGGAACAGCCTCAGGGAGGGAAGGGGGGGGGGGGTCTCTAAAAGCTGGGGAGGGTCCCGAAAAGTCGCCCCCGGGTCAGGGGGGGGCTCCCTCAGGGCTCGTCCTCCATGCTGAGGCTGCTGCGGGGGCTGGAGGCCCGCGAGGGGCCGGGTGAGGCCAGGAGGGCCCCGGGGGGGCCGAGAGGGGAAAGCCCCCCTGCCCCTCCCCCCTCGTCCATCAGGATGTCCTCGAGGGTCCCCTCGGGTCCCCCCAGCGCCAGGGGCAGCGCCAGCCCCGGGGGCAGCTCCAGCAGGCAGGGCTGGGGGGTGGGGGCGAAGGGGGGAGCCCCCCCCGGGGTCTCCTCGGAGCCCCCCTCGGTCGTGGGGGGAGGGGTGAGGGGGAGCCCGTGGATTTGGGCCTGGAGCTCCAGTTCCTGCCGGTGGGGGGGGAGGGGAGGGCTCGGTGAGGGGGAGATCCCAAAAATTCCGAGCCCTGCTCCCAGCTCTTCTCCAGCCCCACGGATCCCTAATCCTGAATTCCCGGCCCTGATCCCCCATTCCCGGCCCCATTCCCACATTCCCAGCCCTTCACGTGCACCTGCAGCCATTCCCAATCCCAATTCCCCAATCCTATTAACCTGAGCTCTCAGCTGCAGGTATTCCCCAATTATCCAATCCCACATTCCCAATTCCCCGATTACCCAATCCCACATTCCCAATTCCCCAATTACCCAATCCCACATTCCCAATTCCCCGATTACCCAATCCCACATTCCCAATTCCCCAATTACCCAATCCCACAATCCCAACTCCAATCCCATAATCCCATTTCCCCATTCCCAAACCTGCATCCGGAGCTGCAGGCTGCGGTTTTGCTGCTCCAATCCCAATTTCCCAATCCCAAATTTCCCAAATCCCAAATTTCCCGAATTCCCAGACCTGCACCCGGAGCTGCAGGCTGCGGTTTTGCTGCTCCAATCCCAATTTCCCAATCCCAAATTTCCCAATCCCAAATTTCC